AAAAACCGAAACCATCTCTAAAACGGCAAGCTCTTGGACGTGGAGGAGCCACACGTGAGTGCTTTGAACTGCTCGGAGGGCACAAAATCTTGCGGCAAATTCGCCCTCTCCACCATCCTCTTCATATTCGTATGCAGGCTCTGCTGCACAAGCTGCCTCACAGCCCTCTTCTCGTGACTCATCATCGTTTCCTCTTCTTCCTCCTCCTCTTCCACTGTAAAAGAATTCAGCGAAGGTGATGACATCAGCGGGGCCGAAACATTCCCTCCTCCCCCGAGAACAACCTGTTTGCCCTTGTCGACCCTCAGCAGCTCAAGCATCCTCGAAGCCCTCTTCTGCGCCAGCACACTTCCCAAGAGAGTGAGCTCGAGTAGTGCCGAAACTGCCCCAGCCTCGATTATGGCTTGTCGATCGACATACGACTTATGGGCCATCACCATTAGAATATAAGATGCCTTTTCTTGGCACTCGTGTGAGTCTGTCCAGCCCAAGACATCTACAAGTATGGGGAATGTGTCCGGGACAGAGCCAATTTTCCTCCTACCGTCCGAAACCGAGACTATATTTGCGAGGATGGAGAGGATTCGGTTGCTCGTGGCTGAGGTGTCGCAGCCGAGCTCGGAGATGAGGTGAGGGATGAGGTCGGTTTGGAGGATGGGTGGGATGTTTGCGGGAGAGATGGAGAGGTTGCAGAGGGCTCGGAGGGCGTCCTGTTTGGGCTGAGGGTTGGGGGAGTGTTTGAGGGTTTTTACGAGAAATGGGATGGCGCCTGAAGAGCCGATGATGGGTTTGTTGGAGTCGAGGGCGCTGAGGCCGAGGAAGTTGGCTACGGCGGCCTCGGCGAGGTCGGGATTGTGTGTAGGGTTTTGGATGAGGTTCAGGATTTTGTGGACGGCGCCGGATTTCACGATGGCGGCTTTGTTCCTGAACAGACACACAGGCAAAACAGGAGATCTGGAAATTAGGGATTTGATTAGAAATTAATTAGTTAGACACCGACACATCACGAGGGAGGAAGGTGCTTGTTACAGTGACAGTGACTGGACGAATGAAGTAAAAAACAAGAAATAGCATAAAAAGGACATCAATTGTAACCAACCAAAGAGGAATTGGTACTCGTACAATCAATGAGTGAGAAATTATGAGAGAGAGAGAGAGAGAGAGAGAGGGGACCCGTCGTTGGCTATGGCGAGGTTGAGCAGAGCATAAAGGGCGGCGATCTGAGTGCGAGAGGTGGGATCTTGGGCGTCGAGCAGGGAAACCAGGGGAGGGATCACGCCGAGCAGGGCGAGAGTGGCGCGGGCCTCCGGGTCGTCCTTGGTCAACCGCCGCACCTCCGCCGCGCCCTCCACCACCGACGGCCCCTGAAGCTTCCTGGCCACCCCCTTCAGCATTTCCAGCGCCTCCTCCTTCTTCCTCCGCCTTAGCTCCGCCTCCGATTCCTCATTCTCCCACCACTCGGCCCGCTTGAGGAGCTCCGACAGCTTATCGGATCCGGGCTTCGGGTCCCTCCGATTGGGCCGATGGGCGCCTCCGCCGCACCGGACGCTGTCGATTAGCAGGGACCAAAGCCGCAGCGGCCGCTCCAGAGCGACGGATCCGCCGCCGTCACATCTGCTCATTGTTCCCCACGCCATGCTCCCTGCATTTATGTTACGAGCTCCGCCGCGAAAGCAATGCCGCCTACCTTGCGGTCACGGGCATTGATTTTTCTTTTTTTCCTTTTTTTTTTTTTNAAGTGTAAATAAAGAAAATGTAATGTTCCACAAATTACTATTGCGTTCCTAGACCTATAGGCTATAACACAAATCCTTTGTAAGCTTTACTCGGCTAGTTAATGCTTAACTAGTTTTTAACCTGTGCATTTGCACGGAAAACAATATAATAGAACAAAAAATAAAAAAAATATATAAATAATAGTAAAAATCATAATATAATCATTGGAAAAATGTTCTAAGAAATAATAACTAAATATTGTTAAACAATTTTTTATATACAAACGTTTGTGGTTTTTCTATCAACAGAATTTCCATCACTAAAAATCACTATCTTCAAATTAAGACATATAATGATTTTATTTGTTTAAATAATTATTGTATTTTGTACTATAGATCATATAGAGAATTTAAGAAAAATACTAAAAAAATACCAGCAGAATATTACAAAACAAATAATTGTATTTAGTTGATAAATAATGATATGTGCCAAATATTTAAGACATTTGAACAAAATGGAAATATATTGATTGAATGATAAAAAAAAAGCCCTAATTAGAAGTCCACGTAATTTTTTAGGGTAACCAAAATCAAATATAAAACATGTCAATGATAACATGACTATAAATAGAGATAAGCTCCTTGAGAGTGATGTAAGCTATTTTTTTTTGTTTGATGTCGACGCTTCTCTCGTTATTCACTCTGTTTGAAACCCTAATCATTAACCCGATCTTACGACAAACTCGGCGATATTCAATACAAAACAACTATTTTACCAGATATTTTCTCTGGGTAAAGGCTTAAAAAATTAAAAGAAAAAATACATCCGAGAAATTTTGTTTTTGTGACCAACAGTAATGATCGAAAAATAAAATATTCGTCCCGATTTCTTAATCTGTGTTGCTAATCTTAGCATATCGATCAAAATCGGGCGATAATATTACAAATCTATGATGAGCTGAAATATTTTTTTGTTAAAAGTAGTTTTTATTTTTTATTATTTTCAATGATTTGTGTCGTTTTTCGAAATTCTTTGTGAATAAGCTTCAAGATATATCATATTTTATACATAATTCAAAATTATTTAGATGTTTTTCAAAATCGTTTTTCGAAGAGAATATGACATTGGTCGAACTTTTTCGAACTTTTATATATTTTGTTCAGGGTTTGAAAAAATATGTAAGTTTCTAACAGATCTGTTCAGCTCTACTAAAAAATATATAGGTAAGTTTATAACATATCTGTTCATAACATACATATGTAACTTTTATGTATTTTGTTCAGATTTTGAAAACTAAATAGTTCAATTCTTTGTCGTATTTCTCATCATATCAGTAAGTGAAGCTTTGCTAACACTTGTTCAAAATCGCTTTTCAAAGTTGTTTAAAGTCTTTTGCCGAAGTTTTTTCAATTTTTTTAGTATTTTGTTCAAAATTTGGAAATATTAGGTAAGTTTATAACAAATCTGTTTAGATATATTTATCGCATATTAGGAATTTCTTGTTTATTGTTTAAAAGAATCTATAATAATTTTTATTTTTAAAACTTTTATGCAAAAAAATCGATTTTAATATAAAAGGAGATGTCTTGGTAAAAGTTGAATGTGTTGATAATGATAGGGAAATCAAATTATTTTTCTTTCTAAATTGTATAGTGTTCAATAATGTTCCACATAATTTGCTGTGTTTTTAATTTTGATTTTTTCATATTGATTTGACTTTTTTTTGTTGATTATTAATTATGCTTAATATTTCTATATTATGCAACAATTTGCCATTATATACAATGCCTTGTCAATCCTCATTCTTTGACTTTGCCAATTTTCGTTTAATATGACTTTTCTGTTGCTGAAAGTATGTTTTTAATGCATTAAAATATTGATGTTTTGGATATGTTTTGATGCTATAATTATGCAGAAATTTGTCCCGCCACTTTTTTCTTAAAGAGGAATTACTTAATGAAAATTAATCATATTTATATTTATAATTGTGAAATAATATTTTTTTCACGGCCAACAGTTATTTTTTTTAATGAAAAATATGAGACAATTTATTCAACACACTTTTTAATTTATAAAAAAAGAATATTGATTGCGATAATCAAATATGCAGAAATCATGTATTTTATTGAATAGTAGTAATATGAAATATTTTATTATTACTACCAAATAGAAAGTCAAAGATAGTTAATTTTGCACTATTAATTATGATCATATGAATTTTTTTATACATATATTTTTTCAATGAAATTTTTAAATGATAATATTGACAATATAGACTTTGTTATAATAATTATATAGACTGTGTTATAATAATAATTTATTTGTTTAATTCATTAATTTTTTTTAATTCATCTTATTATGCGTATAGTCTAAGTTTATAAATTATATGTCATTTAAATGTATCTATACTACTAATTTATAAGGTTTTACCATTTGGGGAGCTAAATTTTTAATTTTAATTATGAAACTAATCTTTCTTATCATTTTGTAGTTATATATTTGATTGAGTATGGCTGGAAATTAAATTACAAAAAAAATAATTTCATTTTTTATATTGTAATGTAACATGATATGTATTATAATGTTTGTAATTAATACATTATTAATATTTCTTATAACTTTAATTGCTTATTCAATTCATAATGAAATAAAAAATAATAATATATAGTTTCTGCACAACAATAATGACTGTCACGTTTATATATATAAATGAGAATAAGAAACATAAATGTGTGATTAACCAAAAGAAACATTTTTAATTTAGTTATTAACTAATTAAGTTTAACTAAAAGAAACCTTCTTAAATGTGGGATTAATGAGTAATTAATTAAAAAAATGTAACTTCTTTTGGAGGGAAAATAAAAATATTTTTATTAAATATTTTATTAAATGTGATTAGCTAGCAATTATATATATATAGATTGCAGGACAAATGGCTAAAGTCACCATGTGCATGTGCTTGTCTTAGCAACTTGGAATAATTTGATTATGAACCAATAAGAGAATGAAATTGAGGAAAATTTAGAGCAATTTTACCAAATTGGATATAACTTATTTTAGATTTAACTGAATTTGATTGGATTTGTCGGATATTGGATATAAGTTATTTTAGATTTAACTGGATTTGATTGGATTTGTTGGATAATCATAGTTAATTTTTAAAAAATTGATTATGCTAGATTGAAGTTAATTTTAAAAAAGTTGACTTAATAATATTTGAGTGTGATTTTGAGTTTTTATTTAAATAATATTTAAAATATAATGTTTAAACCAATTATAAAAGTTTAAAATGATTTAATGTAAGAATATAGGAGGGATGAAATTGATTAGAAGTCATAGGTAGTTAAATTACGTGAGTGGCGTGTGAGGATAATTGATTGATATTATGTAATTACATTGACAATATTCAAAAGAATTTGTTGAGTTAGATTTTGAGTTATAAACTTATGAATTTGTTGAGTTATATTTTGAGTTATAAAAAAATTACCCAGTAAAAGAAAAATCAAATAATTTGTACCAATCAGGTTTACAAACTTTCTTTTCACATTCTCAATACTCCATATCATCCAAACCTCATTTCCACTTCTAATATTACAAACCTCCAATTAAACATGGCCACAGGTCGGGCCGACCATTGTTTCGGCCCAAATCGGATCGGAGCCGGTCTTGAACTGGCCCGCGGCAAACATGCTCAAAATCGAGCCCGTAATTTGACTAGGCTGGTTTCGAGTCACCTAATCATAATTTTTTGGACCGGCAGGCCTGGTCATGGTCGGCCCAGAACTGCCCTGGAGGGCCCGCCATTTTATCGGTAGGCTATACCAATACTTTCTAAAGTATCTATGTGTCCATCACGAATAACAATTATTCATAATAGTGAGACATACTATATTCTTCAAGACTATGATACAGATTTCAGTCCACATGTCAATTCTATCGTGTATCATTAATATCCCTTCCTTAATTATTATAGATGGAGGCAATTTGAGAGTTATATTTCATCAATTAACATCTCACTCTGTTAATGACAGTATTAATTCAAAAGAGAAATTAATTAATAAATTACAAAGAATCAAACAACTACTTAATTAATTGAAATACCATAATTATAATTAAATACAAAAGTAATGCAATTATATATATGTCTTCACAGATATTGTCTCTAGGACATATATACCAACATAGTTTACCCTAATTGAGGGAAAATCCATCCTATCCCATGTAGTAAAGGAAACATGAACAGATAATAAGTCTCTGTAATTTTTGAGACTTCTTAAACTTATTTTAGATGAATACTTGTAATTTGAAATGTTTAAAAATTTAATTGGGTGTCGGACTTCTTAACACGTTTTAAATTCTTTTCACGTATGAGATTCTCTGGACTTTTTCATTCCTACCTATGGATCTTGCTGGATTTGCTATGAATATTGAATTGTAGTTGTCAATATTGTATTGTAGTCTGATGGTCTTAAGACCTCTGGATAAGTATATACAATGGTTTCTTTGAAAAACAAAAAGTAGAAAATGAGAAACGGCAATGATAACTGAAAATATATAAAAAAAAAAAAAAGAATGAACCAATAA